TGACACGCGTGTCATAGGTTCGCCATCACTGCTCTAGTTGCAAGTAGTCCAGCCCAACGATGGGAGCTCCACAGTTGCAAAACAAGAAATTCAGAAAGAATGCAAGGAATCGAGGAAGGTTCAAACGTCAGCATTCCACACTCCAGGAATTCTGCCTTTGTTCCTGACAAATGCCCCTCCCTACAGCGTCTCCTTAAGTCTCAGTCTCCAGGTGTGCCTTGTGAAGAGGGGCGGGGCGCTCCCCTCTCAAGTAATTGGGTCAGTCTGCCCTGTTCTCGCCTTTTCTCCACTCTCCGTGCTCGAGGATCAGGAGAGGGTGGTCCTTGCACATCCTCTGAGCTCTCATGTTCAGTGCTTAGCCTCTCTTGGTCATCCTTCCCCCCCTTCCTCCTTGCCTACAAGCCATCTCAATCCTGAAAGACCCTGGCCTGACTCGGCCTGCCCCCCACCCCATTTTCCTCCAAAGCCAATGAGGCTGCCCCCTCAATCTCCATTGGCTCCAGTTCCAGATTGCCTTCCTCCGCAGATTCAGGTTCCGACGGGGGCATGACACACTGCTAGAGAGAAATCCTCTGAGGATGGTCTCCAGCACAAGTCCGAAAACTCGGAAGACAAAACCTCCATCCCGGTGACCGACCCAGATTGGAGCCTGCAATAATGTTAATGCTTAACGTTGACATGGCTGCTTTCGAGGGTCCAAAACCACATGACGTACTTGCCCCGTTATAAACCTTTATAAACAGATGGCATGTTAACGATGAGTTTATTGGGATAAAGGAAATCATCATCTCTTACCGGACTGTTCTTTTCACATCCGCAAAGCTCACTCCCACTTTTACACTGAAAAAAACGTAAGAAACAAGGGCATTCATAAAACCATTCCTCTTTCGAAAACAACGAAAACACAATATGCATGGCAATATCCAAGTTGGGAGAGAGTTTCCCAAGATTAAGCAGATGCTGGGCCAAGAAACCCATACATTCTTATTTTTACCGCTCCTGTGGCACTGAAGGTCTAGAAGAAGAACCAGACCTTCAAACTTTATGGAACATCAACATGGTGGAAGCCATAGAAGTTTTGGTTCAGTATTTCTAATCTATATCTATATCTATACCTATATCTACCTATCTACTTACCTATCTACCTACTACCTACCTACCTATCTATCTATATATCGCTCTGTATCTTTATCTATATCCATCCATCCATCCATCCATCTCTCTGTATCTTTATCATCTTTATCTGTCTGTCTGTCTGTCTGTCTGTCTGTCTNGCCTTCCGAAAGTCTGTTAAGACCTGGCTGTTCCAGCAGGCCTGGGGCTGCTGATCTTTGATTGAGCTTCAGCCCCATTAAAAATCGAGTGCATGTTGTGTCTTTTTTAATTCGTTTCTGTCTTGTATTTTTAAACTCTTTTAATATTTTTTAAACTCTTTTTATGTAAGCCGCCCAGAGTCCTTCGGGATCGGGCGGCATACAAATCCATTAAAATTGAAATTGAAAATGTTTAGCCCTGAATCCATCCCTGGTTTCTCTTTATCTTTCCATCTGCCTTCTGTCTTAGCGGAGGCTCTCTCTCCTCCTGCTGCAGGTACCTGGCAAATTAAGCATTTATTATTTCTTTTAAATGGGAAAACCTATTAAAAGGGGTCAGGATGTCACAAAAGCTTTTATTCAGACAATTTCTCTTTGGAATTAGCAAAAATAACTTCTCCTGAATTTGCTTTTTTAAGAAGAGCAAACCGCAGCAAGTAGACATTTCCAACAACTTGACCATTAAGAAATAGATTAGAAATAGAATAGAATGATCTTCGACTAGATCTCCAGTTGCAATATTTACTAAAAAAAAAATCATTCATAACAAATCTTTATAAAGGCTGGCTATTCTTTGTATCTGTTTAGACACATACTTGTCTACTTCATGTATATGATAAATGCAGATCTCATATAATCAAAGAGTTGGAAAGGGCCATTTAGGCTAGTGAATCCAGTCTATTGCCCAAATAAATCCCTGACTGCTAACCGACTTCAGCTTGAAGAGGTCCAGGAAAGGGGGCTCTACCATTTCCTTGAGTAATTGCTTCCTTGCTGAATTGTTTTTACTTTTTCTACTTTTCTAATTTTCAACAGGATTTGTTTTGCTGGAACGTACCGTAAATCCATAATCTCTCTATTTAGACTTACGCAAAGGTTGTGGGGTTCTTTATATCGTGTATGAAGTCTATTAAGCCAAGATTAAAATGGAATTCGGGGGCCCAGTCAGCTGACTTAAGATACGTTGGATTATTTCTTGAGGCTGGAAGGACTGACCTCAGAGAATGGAATATGGTGTTAGATTCTTCTGGGAGCTCCCTGCCAATCTCTGAGATTGGTCCATTCAGACATAAGGAATTGCACTTGTAGGAAAATGCTAAAAGAATGTGCCACGAGGGAAGGAGAAGCAATAATCAGGGAGGTTTGAAGACTGAAAAGATCCCTGACACCTCCACCTAAAACTGCACCTCTGAATCAGTGGTGGGTTTCAAACATTTTTAGAACCTCTTNGGAACCTCTTCTAACCGGTTCGGTAGATTTGACGAACCGGTTCTACCGAATAGGTGCGAATTGGTAGGAACCCACCTCTGCTAGATACATAGAATAGCATAAATGATTGGGCTTTACTTGGCTCTCATGTCCTGCCCCAAATGTTAGCAAGGACATTTATAGGATGGGTGACAAAAGTTTGGTCCAGCTGAGAAAGCAAATTTTGACAAGATGGCTTATTGAAGGCTTTTTTAGTTTCTTATAGCTTCAAAAATTGCAAGATAATGTCTGATGGTGGTGGAAGGTAACCCTACCTCTGAAATTGTGTTGGACTAACCTACCAATTCAGCAATAACCTTCTCATCATGCCCGCAGCTCTCAGCGCCATATAGCATCTTAGGTTATCATTTTGCCTTTGTGATATTTTAAACACAAGGGCTACTTAAAAATATTAGCAAAAACTTCAGAATAGCACAGTGTTTTTGCTGTGAAGATGAAATGAAGAGAGATCCCCCTGCACACAGCCTTGAATTTCTTTCTTTCATGTATAAAAATTCAGCAAAATTTAACCACTTTTCCAAAGAAGTTTGTGCTGTTCTTTAATAACATCTTGGCATTTCTATATTTGAAGCTTCCTCATTAGCCAGGAAATGTTTGGTAATCATTAAAATACAATTTATTATTTGGGAAGTTGTAATATATTTGGGTTAATATGCCTAGTGATATAACAGCCAGTTTGATTTAGTAGTTCAGGCTAGAAACAAGAGACCATGCATTTGGTCCTGCCTTAAGCACAAAGCCATCTGGGTGACCTTGGGCCAATCACTCCCTCTCAGTCCTAGGAAGTAAAGGTAAAGGTTTCCCTTGCACATATGTGCTTGTTGTTCCCGACTCTAGGGGGAGGTGCTCATCACTGTTTCAAAGCCAAAGAGCTAGCGCTGTCCGAAGACATCTCTGGGGTCATGTGGCTGGCATTACTAAATGCCGAAGGCTCACAGAACGCTGTTACCTTCCCACCAAAGGTAGTTCCTATTTTTCTACTTGCATTTTTACGTGCTTTTGAACTGCTAGGTTGGCAGGAGCTGGGACAAGTAATGGGAGCTCACTCCGTTACGTGGTGCTAGGGATTCGAACCGCCAACCTTTCTGATCAACAAGCTCAGTGTCTTAGCCACTGCATCTCTTCTTCCTAGGAAGTAGGCAATGACAAACCATTTCTGAAATCTTGCCAAGAAAACTGCAGGGACTTGTCCTGGCAATTGACAGGAGTCAAGTCTGATTTGAAGGGGTACAAACACACATATGGGGAGACAGGAGGGGAGAAAGAGAGAAGATAAAACATCTACTAGTCTCAAATTTAAGAGTCAAAATTGACTAGAAGGCATTGCATTGGCACACACAAACTTACACAAACATTCTGTGATGCCTTTCTTATTTGGTTCATGTATATCAAATAAAAAAATCCTTTAATTCTGACCGTTGAGGGTTCAGTCATCTGGCACATCTGGAGGATACAAAGTTGACTTCCATTGTCTTTATGTTATGAAGGCTGAGCAATTCCTTTTCACAGAATCAACCTAAAAATGTGATTTCAAAGTGGAAAGATGTTTATAACCGCAGCGAAGTAATTGTTATGTTCACAGTCTCATTCACAAATGTTCAAAATTAGACAAATACTAAGATTTTACATTTTGATATTGAACTTTAATTGCAGAACTTGTTTTCTAATTTTTAAAAGGAAATTGAATCTGGATTTAAAGATGGATATTCTGGCTGCAATAATCATGTCTTCTGATGGTGTGAATGGCTGTATTGTAAGATATAATACACTTTGTTGAATGTTATATTTCAGAGACTATCAAACATTTACTGCTACATATTAATTGTCCCTAGTTATTGATGACTATTATATATTCAGCCAACAGATACCAACATGCTATTGCAGAGTAGCTGTGCAAAACTATAAAATGCTTAAAAGCTGTTGTAAAAATACTATATGATGTAGATGCTGAATAATTGTCATTGATACCGCTAGGTAAATCGGAATTATTCCAGCTGTATGAGGTAGCTGCAATTGCCGTGCTGCGCCACCAGGTGGAAACCTTTGACCAGGACTGTGAGTAAATGTTGTACTACATATTCCCATACCAAAATTTGGGGCTGCAGAATGCTGATGGTCTTTGAATACAGGTGTAGCTGGAGAGCAGTTACACCTTCAATATCTTTCCCTGGGATGAGAATTTTGGGAGTAATCTGTAAAATGTATCTGTTGGCTTTAGAGGTTTAAAATAAATAGAGACTTAAGAGACTCAAACAACTTATTTCTCTGACGCTGAAAGGATCAGTTGTCTAAGCGATTTCCTCCTACAACAAGATATATTCCGCTCTTGGCAATGGAATAACTTGAAAACAGTGTATAGAAATTTATGGTTGATACATATTGTTTAGTTATATATAAGGTTTTAGAACTCTGGATGAGTAAGACCTTGCTTTAAACTGATAAATTGTCCTTTTATAAAGACAGTTTATAGGATTAAAGCAAGTCTTACCTAGAGTGAGTAAGTGGGTACCCTTCATTTGTAAAAACTTTTTAAAAAGCATAGGATTTCGTTTGAATGCTAAAGATTCTCCCCCTTATGTATCCTCTCATAGGGATGGAGAAGCTCACCCCCACCTGACCTTTGGGCTAATTTGTCTGGATAATTGCACACTTTTCTGTTAAAAATATTGATTCTAAAATGTTAATCAGACCATTTAGAGGTTTCCCATACCTGGAAACGCAATTTCCTATTACAGTGATTAAATTAAAACAAAATGAACCTGAAATAAGTACATGCAACCTAAAACTGTTGAAATAGTATATTGTAGTCAAACAGAATTATTTCATTCAAATAAGGTTGGCGGCACAGAGAAAGAGAAGTGGTTCTCTTATTCTGTAAAATGTTTATACAGATTTCAAGGAAGAGCCTGGGTGCTAGATGGGGTCTGGAGTTGTGCTCTCACAGTGTAGAAAGGGAGAGGACACCCAGAACATCTTCCCCTGGTGTCCAGCCAATGCTTTTTTTTTTTGGAGAACTTTCTGCAATTCTTGGTTCTCAATGGAAATAATTGTGATGAGAACTGATAAATCCATAATATGTTGCAGCGAAAACAACCAGTGTTATACATGCTGGCCCCAGGGGTGAAATCAACTTACCTCTGCTACCAGTTCGCAAATGTGAGCGTGTGCGCACAGGACCTTACGTGCATGCGCAGAGTGTCAAAAATGGGAGTGTCAAAAATGGGACATGATGACGACCGGGCGGGTGGGTGGAGCCTC